AACTAAAGATTTAAACATTTCTTCCAAATTAATTTATAACTTTATGCAATTACTATATTAATATAAGGAAAATTTTGGTTTAAAAAATAATTTCACAGATAATCACAAAATAGTGAAACAAAGATAGCCGAGAACATATTGAAAATAAAATGAAGAAGTAGTTTCATTGCAATGTTAACGTAAAAAAAACCATTGAAACCTGTAAAGAATTTTTTGTGAGTTTATTGCAAGTATCTTAAAATAATATTTTCCAAAAGCAAATCAACACATTAAAGAATCACAAATCAGTGGGGAAATGATTATTTTAAAATATGGCACTGGGAATTAAGAATATGTTTGGGGAAATAGGAATAACACAAAATACATTTACATGAAAAGTTAGTTCTATACCCAAATCTTTAAAAACAGCAGATGGTAAGGAGATACAAGAACAAAATGAAAGACAACAACATTAAAATGTTAGAAAAAACAACGGTGAATGTTAGGAACATATTTATTACATCCTTAAGTTCTATAGGCTCTCTTTATATAAAATAAGTAAATCATTTAAGAACAATTGCAAATACACTGGATGCAGAAAATTCTGAGAAAAGAAAGATGACCGATTTGGCTCCTATCTCTCCCACTATCAACTCTGGATTTTCTATTTCTTCAAAATAAATAGTGGCTGAACTGCACAGAGTGAAATACAAGATAGGTTTTAGGTGCTGCTGACTTTCTAACAGGGACCAGGAATCCTCCCCTGTGGCAGGGCTAGCACCTGGAAATGCACATGAATGAGGATGAAGGTTAAGTGTTGGTTGCAGGGAATGCTTGCTCTCAGATCTCTGTGACAGCAGGATGGTAAGCAACAGTGTCCTCTCTGTTCTCCTTAGTTTTAGAGAGACCTTGCCATGGCTGCATGATTGAGTTAGGAAATCAGCACCTCGTATACCTGAGGCCTCAAGCATCTCACTTCAGGACCTGCCACATGCCTGCTTCCTCAACCACATGTCAAAGTGGGAGGAAATGCTCTCACTTATACTCTAGACCACAGCCCCCTCATAGCAGACCGAGATAAATAAAAAGTTTCAAAAGAGACCAGAAATCTGAGAGGTAAAGACACCAAACTAACAGGACATAAAGTCGGTAGAGTTGGAGCGTGACACAGAACAATTGAACAGCACATATTCTATGTCAAAATATGACAACCATTCAAAAGGCCTGTGGAAAATAAACTGAGAAAACGTGCAGCATAATGGATTTTAGCTTATTATGTAAATGCATCTTGTAAATTCATAACAAAATGGCAGTTTCAATTTTTAAAAACTGAGCAAAGAAATAACCCTAAGGCCAAAATGCATATCGCAAACATATCCAATTTTACCAACAACTAACAATTGCCAATTAAAATGTAATACATATTTGAGCTATTAAGTACCATATTTCATCAAACTAAGAGGACATTATGTCAAAGATGTATGGCTATGTGTTGTGAACATTGAAGAAAATAAATTACCAGTCATACTCTGTTATGGTACAATGCTATGAAACCATGGATTGTAAGACATGAAAAAATGGATGGAGTAGATAAAATATGACATAAAAACTTACTGGTTAAAATGTTTTTGTTTCTTAGATTGTCTTCAATTGGATTCTTACAAAAATTCCATTTTAAAAATAAAAGCAAGACAAGTAAAAAACGTAGTGACTTAGGAAACAAAAAATGCAGAATGTATTTGTGTCACATGATAAAGTGTGTTCACTAATTAGAGAGAAGTATTAGAAGTTCATATGAGACTACTTCATTATTTTTAATTTATTGTATATTTTTCTTAGATGAAATGAAGTAAAGTACATTGCACAGTCATATCAAATTATCATGAGTTAGTGCATCTTCATCTTATTGCATTCAGTGTGTGTATGTGTGTGTGTGTATGAATGTGTGTGTGTATGTGTGTGTGTAGGAAGCATGAAAACTCATCAAAAAGAAAATGTTTTATAAAATATTAAATGAGATCTAGAAAACTGAGTTGCTTTGTACTCAAAATTACTTAGCAGCTGGTTTTAGTACTAGTAGAGGTACTGTTTGTTTTTTCCTCCTCTTTCCCTCCCCCCTCTCTCCCTTTTTCTCTTCTCTTTTCCTCCTTTTCTCACTTCCTTCTTCCCTCTCTTCTCTCTTCCTCCTTCCATTCATCTTCATTTTATTTTTCTCCTCACCTACTCTTTTTTTGTAAAGAAAAAGAGGAAAAAAATGTATCAATGTATATCTTAGAGGATGCGTTAACAAATGAAAAATTAATGATTAATGCAAAATCATAAAACTTTGAATGTAAGCTATTTATTCCATGCTGTGAGAAAGACCTCATGGGCTCATGTTTGTAAAGGTGTGGCAATTTTCCAAAAAGCACAATAAAAAAAGTGAGAAAAGTGGAATATTTCAAACTTAGGTATATTTCAAATGTAATTTTAAAATTCTCAGAACTTTCTTATATCATAAATAGACCTACTATCAGTGTTACATTTTGTTTTAAGAACATGATTACATGATTCTCAACATATTATGTTCAATATCAGGAATTCAAACAATGCAGAATGTGCAAAGGAATGGAAAACTATTACTTGAAATTCCTTCATTAAGAAATAATCTTCATTAACTCAGTTGAATACACTTTCAGACACTTCATTGCATCTATACAGACGGAAATGTACTAAGTACTAAACAGACAGGCAAACATTCAAATGAAAATTATATGCTATATAAACTGCATTTACTAGTAATACAAAACAATCAAATTTAGTTTTGCTTTAATTCATAAGAAAAAAGCAACTCAAATAAAAACAAATTAATGTTTCAAATAGGTATATATTTCTTCATTTTAATAGATTGTGTTTACATGAATATTCTTCCCAGGCAAATTGAAAAAGAATATAGAACACATTTATACATTGTACTCATTTTTTAAACAGCATGTTTCAAATTTAGAAAGTACTATTTTATCCCCTGCTGTGTAACATACACAAATTATTCCTCTCACATTGATTTCCAGTACCTTGCCTTCATGTTTGAATGTTAACATTTTTATTTTAATAACTTTTATGTATTTTCATTACATACAATGTTAACACTTTTCCTCTGAGTTATTCATATTAATCCTAGATGTGGAGTCACCATAGCACATTGTCATAGCTTCTCTCTTATGTATTTTGATAATCACTAGATTGTCTGGGTGGGTTTTATTATAAAGTTCTCTCTCTCTCTCTCTCTCTCCCTCAGATAATTGATTTACCAATGTCTCCTATTGCCTTTCGTGTTTAACCATTCCTTAACTGAGTGCTGTCATTTTTTGTGTGTTCTTTTTTCAGTTGCACTTTAATTTCTTCTGAACTCTGTAGACAGCTCCATTGGGATTTTTTATATTGAATATGGAAAAATCAAGGAAAGTATATGCAGCAAGGAGCACAGTTGACTCCATGTGTGTCTTAAATTCAGGTATTAGGCTTTGTTATTTATTTACTTCAGTGCATTTCAAAAACTGAAATGAGAGCAATAATTTTTTAAATCTTAAACCCCCAGGCAACTCCCTCAGCTGACAGCTAACAGCTGACCGCTGACAGTCTGCTCTCTATCTATGAGTCTGTCTCTATTTTTCTTGTTACTTCAGTTTGTTCATTAGATTCCACATCTGAGTGAGATCATATGGTACCTGTCTTTCTTTGCCTGGCTTATTTCATTTAGCACAATGTTCCCTCCATAATGTCGCAAAGGGTAAGATTTCCTTCTTTTATGCGGCCGAGTAGTATTCCACAGCTTTTTTTATCCACTCATCTACTGATGGACATTTGGGCTGCTTACAAATCTTGGCTACTGTAAATAATGCTGCAATAACCATTAGGGATCCATATATTCTTTCAAATTTGTGTTTCAGGTTTCTTTGGATAAATTCCCAGAAGTGGAATTGCTGGATCATAAGGCAGTTCCATTTTCAATTTTTTGAGGCAACTCCACACTGCTTTCCTCAGTAGCTGCACCAGTCTGCATTCCAACTAGCAGTGTGTGAGGGTTCTCTTTTCTCCACATCCTCGCCAACACTTGTTTGTTGATTTATTGATGATATTCATTCTGACAGGTGTGAGGTGGGTATCTCATTGTGCTTTTAATATGCATTTCTTTGATAATTAGTGACTTTGAGAATCTTTTAATATGTCTATTGGCCATCTGTCTGTCCTCTTAGGAGACATGTCTATTCAGGTCCTCTGCCCAAGTTTTAATTGGATTTTTTGTTGACTTGGTGTTTGCTGTATGAGTTTGTTATGCATTTTATTAATATTAACTCCTTATCAGATGTATCATTGGTGAATATGTTCTCCCATTCACTGGGCTCTCTTTTCATTTTGTTGATAATCTCTTTTGCGGTGCAAATCCTTTTTAGTTTGATGTAGTCCCATTTGTTTGTTTTCTCTTTTCTTTCCCTTGCCAGAAAAGATATATCAGAAAAAATGTTGCTATGAGAAATGTCTGAGATTTTACTGCCTAGGTTTTCTTCCAGGATTTTTTATGGTTTTGAGTATAACACTTAAGTCTTTAATCCATTTTGAGATTATTCTTGTGTATGGTGTAGGAAAGTGATCTATAGGAAAGAGGTCTAATAGCAGTTTAATTTTTTGCATGTATCAGTCCAATATTCCCAACACCATTTATTGAATAGACTTTTACCCCATTGTGTGTTTTGCATTCTTTGTTAGATAATTTTTGACCATAAAGGTGTGGGTTTATTTCAGGGCTCTCTATTCTGTTTCATTGACCTCTATGTCTGTTTTTATGCCAGTACCATGCTGTTTTGATTACTATAGCTTTGTAGTAAACTGTAGATTACAGTAGCTTTGTAGCAAGGTAGTGTGACTCCTTCAACTCTGTTCTTCTTTCTCAAGATTGCTGTTGCTATTCAGAGTCTTTTGTGGTTCCATGTAAACTTTTGGAATATTTGTTCTAGTTCTGTGAAATATGCCATTGGTGATAGGAATTGTGTTGAATCTAGATTGCTTTGGGGGGCATGGGCATTTGAGAGCAATGGTGTTTTAATGTAGATTGTGGCCTCTTTTCTCTCTCACTAGGAGTCTGCAAGTGGCCAGTAGATTTTGTATAGACTGTATGCCAAGTTTTCCCTTTAGCTTTTGAAATGAATCACCTTGACTTCCGTACTTACATCAATGCGGGAAATGATTTGAGCACTTTGAAGTTACTACTTCTCCACTGTTAAAATATTTACTGCCTTAGAAACTTAATGATTGAGGTCCTGATTGTTCAGCCCTTTAAGTGATTCTGGAGTATGGTTGTTACATTCAACTCTCCCTATTGCCTTTCTTAGATCCACTAGCACTCATTTCATACTCACCCCCTTCAGCTAAGTTAATAGCCTCTTAAAACTGGGGAGATTACACGCGGCAACTTTTTATTCTTGTGTCAAGGCAAGAAGAATGCTTTTCAAACTTCCATGCATCATGATTTGGAACATATGCTACTAATCATTAGAGGCAAGGATACGACAAAGGAAAAATAAGAGGTTGATTGCTGACAATCTTCACACAGACAACTACTTCACAGGCAGTCTCCCAAGTTATAAGTACATTCTATGCAGACTATACACAAAACAGCAACTGTGCCTGCTCCTCTTAACAGTGGCAAGGCCTAGGGGTGCACCAGGCTTTTACACAAGCAACAAAATCATATTCCCAGTTCCCTCACTTGACAAAAAGAAAATGGTGGAAATCAATAAAAGTTAATTAAATCCCTTAATTGGAATATGGACCAACTAGTGCTTACTTACATTTAGTTCTGGAAATTTATAATGCAAACAAAGGTTGTAAGAGGAGTATTTAAATTTCTTAAGAGAATAAACAGTTTCATACAATCATATATAATGAAAAAAATTTATTTACAAATAATTGATGTGTTAAATTGAACTTTTTCTCATCTAGTAATTAGATCATCACCCTGTAGGAAGCTACCAATAACAAGTTTATGTATTTTGTGTTTAACTGATAAACATTACATAAAACTGAAAAACACACACCTGAATTTGTGAAAATTCTGTGATTTTTGAGTCTTTATTCATTCAGACTTGCTTACTGCCCAAATAATTATTCCTTTATCTTATAATAAATATTAACATCCACTGTGCATAATATACCTGAATTTGTGAAAATTCTGTGATTTTGAATCTTTATTCACTCAGACTTGCTTACTGCCCAAATAATTATTCCTCTATCTTATAATAAATATTAACATCCACTGTGCATAATAAGCCTCTGTATTATATAATTTTTTTATATATTTTTCTTTGCAAAAATAATGGAGAAACTTAAAATTATATATGTGCAATTATAGAGAGACAATATGAACAGATATAGGAATGGGTTTGTGGCTACTTAATTGAAGCATTCCAGGCTTTCCACATTATGGTGTAAACTCACATTTCTATTTTGTTGTTTTTTTTGGGGGGAGGGGATTTTTTTTAATGTTTATTGTTGACACTACTGCAGATGTCCCCAGCATCCCTCCCCCTTTTGCCAACTTCCACCCTGCCCCTGCTGCCTGACCCCCATCCTCACCACTCTGTTCTTGTGTGCTCGGGCTATGCATATATGTTCTTTGGCTAATCTCTTCACTGTCTTTTACCCATTACTCCCATCCTCTTCGATTCTCCATTTTATAGGCCTACAGAACTAAATTATCATCTCTACCAAAGAGAATTTTGTTCTTGGAAGCTAGTCATGACAAAGAAATCCTGGAGAGATAAATATAGAAATCATATTTTAAAAATATATGCATGAGCTTTATTTTTAATACCAGAATATGACTAATTGTGGTTAAATTTTCTTTTCTTTTTATTGGTTTGTCAAAGACTTATTGAGAATACTATGAAATAATCAAAATAGTTAATTAATTATATGCTTTGACTTATTTAAAAAATGTGATGTTATATGGAAAATATAATGCACAACTACTTGTTCCATAAAATAATTACACTCGATAAGAGCACCCACTGGAGCCATAACTGGTTTGGCTCAGTGGATAGAGCGTCACCAGCCAAAAAGTCTCTGTTCTTTCAAATAAACTTTAAAGAAAATGTAACCTACAAATTGAGATTTAGGGAACCAATTTGTTGTGTAAGAGCACTTCATACTGACTGGAAAAATGCAGACATCAATCATAGAATTAGAGGCCTACCTATATAAATGCGGGGTTCCTTCTACTTATTTCATTTACATTTACGGTTTTGTGTGTGTATCCAAAGGGGGACTTTATTTTTCCCATATTAATTTGTATTGTTGAATCCTTTAAGCTAAAAAAGGGATTGAGTGAGAGAGAAATGTTATTCACACCCCCCTGATGAAACCAGCCAAAAAGTCTCTATTCTTTCAAATAAACTTCAAAGAACATGTAATTCACCTACAAATTGAGATTTAGGGGACCAATTTGTGGTGTAAGAGCACTTCATACTGACTGGAAAAATGCAGACATCAATCATAGAATTAGAGGCCTACCTATATAAATGCGGGGTTCCTTCTACTTATTTCATTTACATTTACAGTTTTGTGTGTGTATATCCAAAGGGTGATTTTATTTTTCCCCTATTAATTTGTATTGTTGAAACCTTTAAGCTAAAAAAGGGAGTGAGAGAGAAATGTTATTCACACCCCCCTGATGAAACAGTCATCAAGTGTCAATTAGATAGTAAGTGAAATTGAAGAGCTGAGCTGTGGGGAAAATTATATCTGTGTTAAATATGAAACTAACTTTATTTTCTAGATGAGAAAATCAAGGCATCATTATTTTTAAATAATCTGCCCATGTTAGGACTTCAGGTAAGTAGTAGAGTCAACCCAGACAACAGTGCTCTGGAATCCAAGGTTAACCCTGATTTATGCTTCTCCATTAAGCAGAGGAGAAAAATGAGGCAAAGGAATGTTTATTTCTGGTCCACACAAAAGTAATGAGGAAGACAATGTTAATAACAGATAAAGATTAATGGCAAAGAGTGGACCAGGACTAGGGTGATGCAAGCTAGCCACCTAGGTGACAAAATTTTGGGTGGCATTCACTTTTGGTTTGTATAAATGCCAACACAGGCGGAGAGAGAATTCCTCCTTCAATTTTAAATAACTACATTCTTTTTTTAAAAATGAGAAGAAAACTGCTGTTTAGTTTTGGTGTCAGTGACTAAGAGAATTGAACACCTGGTAGTCACCTGTTACATGCTTTATTTAGGTGTGCACCTTTGTTAAATTTCCAAATAAGCCCTGAGACTTATGGATGTACAGTATATTTCTGAGAATGACCACATGGTAGGTTATATGGTAAGAGAAACCTTAAGAAGATACCTCCTAAGCATATTCCCCACAATATTGAAGAAAAATAAATAAGAAAGAGGTAGGGTAGATGGATGCAGTGTCAGCTACAGAACAGGAAGTTTAGCCAAAACAGTGGAAAAGAGCTTGATAATTATTTGTTTTATACACTCAAGTGCACCATCTATACCAGTGATGGCGAACCTATGACACGCGTGTCAGAGGTTGTGACCCACAGTTTGAGAACTGCTGTTCTGGACAAAGCTGCAGTGACAGAGGCCCAGGCAGAGGTGATTAGAGGTGATCAGGCAGGCAGGGGAGCAGTTAGGGGGCAATCAGGCAGGCAGGCAAAGGCAGTTAGGGACAACCAGGCAGGTAGGCAGGAGAGCGGTTAGTAGCCAGCAGTCCTGGATTGGGAAAGGGATGTCCAACTGCCGGTCAATATCTCCTGAGGGGTCCCAGATTGGAGAGGGTGCAGGCCAGGCTGAGGG